TATAATTCCTTAAACAGAGTTTTACAAATTAAAATATACCTGGTTTTTATTAAAGTGAAAGAGAAAAGAATACTAAAGTTCATTGTAAGAATCCTTAATGAGAACTACTTACATTGGAAGAAAACTGTAGAGAATTGTAAGGAGCCATTCTCATGGATGAGGATGCCATGAAAATGGCTAAAAATAGGTCATTTGATCCTTGGCTCCCTGGCATCTCTCTAGATTTTTAAGTATACAATGTTCAATCTGATGTGCAAGGTAATTCCTTCTTGCAAAGGATGTCATGTTACATTTTACCATACATACACCTGAATTAAACTTTCACCAAATTGGAAATGCACATCATTGATCAAAATAAATGAAACAAGAAAAGAGTAGAAAGGGATAACCAGTGATAGAACAGCAAATAGGAATGGAAAGCAAAATAGGACTGCAAAAAAACAATTAAAAAAAAAAAACAACCTTCAGAAGCACATAATACCATTGGTATTTAGAATCATAGTGGTGTCTAAATTACTTCTATCACGTCCATTCAATATCAGAACAAACAATGTTAAGTTTATTGTAGAATGCCCACTAAACAGCTAGTTTTTGAAAAAACTTGTTTCTCTATTCATGCTAACCATTTTGGGCTACTACATCAAACCAAAGTTATTGGCATCATGCTAAGTTAGATGTGTTGACTGGGGTATGAGATTTACATTTTTGTAAATGAAAAGCCATCTGATTAGGCAATTTCTTTCTAAGTGAAAGCAAGTTTATCAGAGAAGTAAAGAAATAAAAGAATGACTACTCCAGAGACAGGGCAGTGTTTCTTTCTTTAAGGTGTAGGCAGATGTTTTTTGAAGAAGATATTTCAGTAAGAAAACTGGCCCTTGGGGCATACTTCCACTAAATTTGAGATATCTTAGACAAAACAAAGACTTATTTTCAAGGCATTATTTTTATGGAAATGAAGCTTTGGAACTATTTAATCTAGTTACTCTATGTTCAAAACTGTGTTAACTCATTAAAGAGAACATTGTTTTTATAGGTATTTGCAAGAAAAACTCAGAGACACCATATTATCTCCTTTCTCTGTCTGAAACTGTTTTCCCCTCAGCACCCAAGGCTCTGTGATGTCTTATATTTTTAATCATTAATTTCAAAAAAGAAGCTTATCACAGAATTAGAAAAACACTATTTAAAAATTCATATGGATCCAAAAAAGGAGCTTGTATACCTGGGAGAATCCTTAGCAAAAAGAGCAAAACTAGAGTCATCAGACTACCGGACTTAAAAACTATACTACAAGCCTACAGTTCCAAAAACAGCATGGTATTGGGAAAACACACACACACACACACACACACACACACACACACACACACACACAGGCATGTAGACCAATGGCACAGAAAGAGAACTCAGAAAGAAGACCTCACACCTACAACCATGTGCTTTCCAACAAATGTGACAAAAACAGGCAACGAGGAAAGGATTTCCTATTTAATAAATAGTGTTGAGAGTACTGGCTAGCCATATACAGAAAATTGAAAATGGACCCCTTCCTTACACCTTATATAAAAGTTAACTCAAGATGGATTCAATACTTAAGTATAAACCCAAAACTATAAAAACCCTGGAAGAAAATCTAGGCAATACCATTCAGGACATACACATTGGGCAAAGACTTTACGATGAAATTGCCAAAGCAACTGTCACAAATGCAAAAATTGAAAAATGGGATCTAATTAAAGAGAAGAAATTCTGCACAGCAAAAGAAATTATCATCAGAGCAAAAAAACATCCTACAGAATGGGAGAAAATTTTTGCAATCTATTCATCTGGCAAAGTTCTAATATTCAGAATCAACAAATAAGCAAATATACATAAAAAAAACTTCATTAAAAAGCAGACAAAGGATGTGAATAGATACTTCTCAAAAGAAGACATACAAGAGGCCAAAAACATAAGAAAAAAAGCTCAACATCACTAATCATTGGAAAAATGCAAATCAAAACCACAATGAGATGCCATCTCATGCCAGTCGGAATGGCAATTATTAAAAAGTCAAGAAAAAACAGATACACCTGATTTTATCTGTTTTTCCTTGACTTTTAAATAATTTTTTATTAATAAATTTTTATTGCCCTCGAGTCACTCCAGCGCTGCTCTTGTGCCTCATGTGTGTTGGACAGCCAGCCCACCTTGCTTTCTAATACCTGTGAGCCTTTTCTTTTCAAGATGCCTGAGGAAGTGCACCATGGAGAGGAGGAGGTGGAGACTTTTGCCTTTCAGGCAGAAATTGCCCAACTCATGTCTCTCATCATCAATACCTGCTATTCCAACAAGGAGATTTTCCCTCGGGAGTTGATCTCTAATGCTTCTGATGCCTTGGACAAGATTTGCTATGAGAGCCTGACAGACTCTTCCGCATTGGACAGTGGTAAAGGGCTGAAAATTGATATCATCCCCAACCCTCAGGAACGTACCTTGACTTTGGTAGACACAGGCATTGGCATGACCAAAGCAGATCTCATAAATAATTTTGGAACCACTGCCAAGTCTGGTACTAAAGCATTCATGGAGACTCTTCAGGCTAGTGCAGACATCTCCATGATTGGGCAATTTGGTGTTGGCTTTTATTCTGCCTACCTGGTGGCAGAGAAAGTGGTCATGATCACAAGGCACAACGACAATGAACAGTATGCCTGGGAGTCTTCTTCTGGAGGTTCCTTCACTGTGTGTGCTGGCCATGGTGAGCCCAATGGCAGGGGTACCAAAGTGATCCTCCACCTTAAAAAAGATCAGACAGAGTACTTGGAAGAAAGGTGGGTCAATGAAGTGGTGACGAAGCACTCTCAGTTCATAGGCTATCCTATCACCCTTTATTTGGAGAAGGAAAGAGAGAAGGAAATTAGTGATGATGAGGCAGAGGAAGAGAAAGGTGAGAAAGAAGAGGAAGATAAAGATGATGAAGAAAAGCCCAAGATTGAAGATGTGGGTTCAGATGAGGATGATAGTGGTAAGGACAAGAAGAAGAAAACTAAGAAGATCAAAGAGAAATATATTGATCAGGAAGAACTAAACAAGACCAAGCCCATTTGGACCAGAAACCCTGATGACATCATTCAGGAGGAGTATGGAGAATTCTACAAAAGTCTCACCAATGACTGGGAAGACCACTTGGCAGTCAAGCACTTTTTTGTAGAAGGTCAGTTGGAATTCAGGGCATTGCTATTCATTCCTTGTCGGCCCCCTTTGACCTTTTTGAGAACAAGAAGAAAAAGAACAACATCAAACTCTATGTCTGTCTTGTATTCATCATGGATAGCTGTGATGAGCTGATACCAGAGTATCTCAACTTTATCTGTGGTGTGGTTGACTCTGAGGATTTGCCTCTGAACATCTCCCAAGAAATGCTCCAGCAGAGCAAAATCTTGAAAGTCATTCGCAAAAACATTGTTAAGAAGTGCCTTGAGCTCTTCTCTGAGCTGGCGGAAGACAAGGAGAATTACAAGAAATTCTATGAGGCATTCTCTAAAAATCTCAAGCTTGGAATTCACGAGGATTCCACTAACCAACGCCGCCTGTCTGAGCTGCAGCGCTATCACACCTCCCAGTCTGGAGAGGAGATGACATCTCTGTCAGAGTATGTTTCTCGCATAAAGGAGACACAGAAGTCCATCTATTACATCGCTGATGAGAGCAAAGAGCAGGTGGCCAACTCAGCTTTTGTGGAGTGAGTGTGGAAGGGGGGCTTCAAGGTGGTATATATGACTGAGCCCATTGACGAATACTGTGTGCAGCAGCTAAAGGAGTTTGATGGGAAGAGCCTGGTCTCAGTTACCAAGGAGGGTCTGCAGCTACCGGAGGATGAGGAGGAGAAGAAAATGGAAGAGAGGAAGGCAAAGTTTGAGAACCTCTGCAAGCTCATGAAAGAAATCTTAGATAAGAAGGTTGAGAAGGTGGCAATCTCCAATAGGCTTGTGTCTTCACCCTGCTGCATTGTGACCAGCACCTACGGCTGGACAGCCAATATGGAGTGAATCATGAAAGCCCTTTGGGACAACTCCACCATGGGCTACATGATGGCCAAAAAGCACCTGGAGATCAACCCTGACCACCCTATTGTGGAGACGCTGTGGCAGAAGGCTGAGGCAGACAAGAATGACAAGGCAGTCAAGGACCTTGTGGTGCTGTTGTTTGAAAACTCCCTGCTCTCTCCTGGCTTTTCCCTTGAGGATCCCCAGACCCACTCCAACTGCATCTACTGTATGATCAAGCTAGGTCTAGGTATCGATGAAGATGAAGTGGCAGCAGAGGAACCCAGTGCTGCAGTTCCTGATGAGATCCCCCCTCGTGAGGGTGATGAGGATGCGTCTCGCATGGAAGAAGTAGATTAGGAGTTCATAGTTGGAAAACTGCCCTTATATAGTGTCCCCATGGCTCCCACTGCAGCCTTGAGTGCCCCTGTCCCGCCTGGCTCTCCCTGTTGATGTCTGGTGTTTTTTTCTCTCCTGTGAAGGCAGGAAACAAGGGTGTCAAGCCCCCATTCTTTCCCTACTCTGACAGCAGGATTGGATGCTGTGTATTGTGGTTTTTTATTTTGTTTGTTCATTTTGTTCTGAAATTAAAGTAGGCAAAATTAAAAAAAATAATGTTTTATTAAAACCTTTTTAAATCTGAAATTACATTTTATTAATGGAAAATATCATCAAAATAGTACCACTATGGACTAAACTGCCTGAGTTTTCACTTCACATTGAGATTTCAGAGTAGAAAAGCCTTTAGCACAATTTTGCTCTGTGTAAGTCACAATGAGTGCCAGCCCCGGTACTAAACCCTGGGGAAGATTCTCCTCTTGGATGGAATCTGTGTTGTTCTATCAAGACTTTTGTGCTAATCTTTCAAACAGGGACATGGTGAGGCAAACCTTTAATCTTTCGGCACAAGATTATTTTGGTTGGGGTAGAAAATTTGAGTCTCGGACTCAGGATGAATAATGTGACATTTCATTAATTAAGTATTGATTTTGATTGTAGAGCTTTCTTTTGGTCATTTACTTCCATCTGCAACCGAAGCCGGATTTTCTTCTCTTTATCCAACTCAGACAATAACTGTTTAATATCTCGTTTCTGCTGGTCCTTCATGTTCTCGATGATGCTCTTCCCCACGCGGACCTGTGTCCTTAGCTCCTCCATGGCCACCTGGCTGCTGGCGGCAGGCTCCATCTTTAATTTTCCTTCCATGCTGAACAGAGAAGGGGAGTTGGCTCTGTGTCCAGCTGTTCCCAAACCGGATGACGGTGGGGATGGCGCTGCCAAGGACAGAGGGGCTGGCCTACCAATAGCTGCTGCCATGGTCCCCAGCTTGGGCAGCAGGGATGCTTTGTTTTCAGACACTTGGGTTATGGTAACAGTCTTGGAAGTTTTCTTTGGTGCATCCACTCCTTTGTGCGCAAGTGGGATGTGTTCCTCCTTATCCTCTTTGGGACTTGGGGAATTGAAGATATCAGGGCTTGAAAGCGATGAAGATGTGAGGGACTGGGCTGGAGGCTGCCTCCCTGTGGCTTTTGGTCTGCTTGTGGTCGGATGACTGAGTTTCTCAGTATGACACCACGAGGTGGATCACGGACCCGGAGACTCGGGGTGACCCAGGCCGTACATCTCTGGAGTTGCCAGAGTCATAGGTAACTTCTTCCCAATAGTCTTTCCCCCGGTAGAAAGTCATTTTCTACTTCAGTTGATCTTGTCTTAGTTTGATTGGCTTGTTTTTGAAAATATCTCCAAAGCCCACTCCTTTAACTTTTTGGGATTGGAATGCTTTTATGTTCTTGGTGAAAACATAAATTTTTTCCATGATTGTGGAAGACAGTGTGGTGATTCCTCAAAGATTTAGAACCAGAAATGCTATTTGATCCAGCCATCCTATTACAGGGTATAATACCCAATGGAATACAAATCATTCTATTATAAAGATACATGCATGTGTATGTTCATTACAGCACTATTCACAATAGCAAAGACATGGAATCAACCCAAATGCCCATCAATGATGAACTGGGTAAAGAAAAGATGGTACATATACACCATAGAATATTATGCAGCAATAAAAAGAAGTGAAATCAAGTCCTTTGCTTGATTTCATTTCTTTTTATGGCTGCATAAAAAGATATGGATGAAGCTGGAAGCCATTATCCTCAGCAAATTAACACAGGACAGAAAACCAAACACCATATGTTCTCACATATAATTGGGAGCTGAGCAATGAGAACACATGGACAAGGGGAAAGGAAAAATACACACTGGGGCCTGTGAAGGGTGAGCATTGGTGGCAGGAGCATTAGGAAAAATAGCTAATGCATGTCGGGGTTCAAACCTAGATGATGGGTTAATAGGTGCAGCAAATTACCATGGCACACGTTTACTTATGTAACAAACCTGCACATCCAGCACCGGTACCCTGGAACTTAAAATTAATTAAAATAAAAGAAAAGCTTAAAGTATTAATGAAAAACAATTAGATTTTAAAAAGCCTTTGAGTTACAAAATCTTGAAACAACAGTTTTAATTTTGTTAATACTGCTCCGTTCCAGAGGTGCAGCTTAATTCCCTCTCTTTAGTGTGGCTTGGATTTAATGATGCACTTCTGATATGGCCTGGCTCTGTGTTCCCACGCAAATCTCATCTTGAATTGTTTTACGAATTGTAATCTGACATATTGGAGGAGGGACCACATAGGAGGTGATTGGCTCATGGGGACTGTTCCCCTATGCTGTTCTAATGATAGTGAGTGAATTCTCATGAGATCTGATGGTTTTACAAGGAGCTTCTCCCTGCTTCACTCTGCATTTCTCTCTCCTGCCACCATGTGAAGAAGGACGTGTTTGCTTCTACTTCTGCCATGATTGTAAGTTTCCTGGGGCAGCCTCCTCAGCCATATAGAACTATGAGTCAATTAAACCTCCTTTTTTTTAATAAATTACTCAGTCTCAGGTATTTCTTTATAGCAGTGTGAGAATGAGCTAATCCAACTTCTAACTGATGGAGTAATGATGACATAACAGTTTGTGACTCTGGGTGTAGAAGATAAAAGTCACTGCAGCTTCTACTTTCTCTCTGTCTCTCTGTCTCTCTGTCTCTCTCTCTCTCTCTCTCTGGGATCATGAACTCTGGGGGAAGCCAGCTGCTGTGCGACAAGCAGCCCTGCAGGAAGGTCCATGTGGCTAAGAACTGAGGACTTCTGGAACCAGACAACAAGAAACTAGGCCTTTTCTAACAGCCATGTGACTGAGCCATGTTTCACGTGAATCCCAGCCTCAGTGAAGCCCTCAGATGACGCAGCCCTTGGCTGACAGCTGGACTACAGCCTTGTGAGAGGAACTGAGCCAGAAGCACTCACAGAAACCTCTCCTGGATTCCCGACCATTGGAAGCTGTGGGAGATGATGAATATTTGTTGTTTTGAGTTGCTAAGCTTTACTATTTGTAAATCTATTAGTTATTTACTATTTGTTAGGCAATAGTAAATAACTAATAGATTTTCACAAGAGAGGATGGATTATTACACGTTAATTTGCATGTGCTCTCAATTTGTCATCATCAATTTTATTATTTTTGAGACAGGGTCTCTCTCTGTCACCCATGATGGAATGTAGTGGCGTGATCACCATGCACTGCAGTGCCCACCTCCTGGGCTCAAGGGGTCCTGTGACCTCAGCCTTCTGATAGCTGGGATGACAGGCATGAACCACCATGCCTGGCTAATTTTCTAATTTTTTGGCAGAGATGGGGGTTTGACCATGTTTCCCAGGCTGATCTTGAACTTCTGGAGTCAATGGATCCACCTTCCTCTGCCTTCCACAGTGCTAGGATTGCAGGCATGAGCCACCACACCCGGCCTAAATTAATTGTAAGATACTAAATATATAACTTGGTTGTAAAAGGTAAGGAGAATTTCCATGGCTGAAGAGAATGTATTTTATTACCGTTCACAATGATCACTTTACTTGAACTTCAATTTCCAACTGTCTCTCAATTAAACACAAAAGGAAGATCCAATCCTTGCTAGGCTGATTCTGTGATACCCCCAACAACAACCTCCTGGTCATTCACCTTCCCCCAATTATTCAACCAACTCTAATGTAGGTGCTGCTGTGAGGGGATTCAGCAGATATAACTAAGGGTCTCAATTAGTTGACTTTAGGCTGGTTTATCCTGCTTGGACTGCCCTAATCAGCTGAGCACTTGAAAGGCTGGGTTCTTCCCGAGCATAGAGATTCACAGTGTGAGAGGGATTGAGCATGAAGGGTTTCCTCCATTCTGGGCTTTGAAAATGAAGAAGCTGGTTAGGCAAGAACGCTGGTGGGCACCAGGAATTGACCACATTCCTCCCTGTTCTCTACCTTGACAGCCAGCAAGGAACAGGAATCTCAGTCTTACAACTGCCAGAAACTGCATTCTGCCTCCTCTGTAGAAGCCTGAAGGAGGATTCAAAATGAAAACACAGCTTTGGGAAGTCCAGAACAGAGATTCCATCCACATCATCCTGGGATTTCTGACTAAGGAACTATAAACAGATAAATGGGTGTTGTTAGGTCAGGGGTGGTAGCACACACCTGTAATGGTAACATTTGAGGAGGTGACACAGGAGGATCCCTTGTAGCCAGGAGTTTGAGACCACCAGGATAATATAGTGAGGCTGCTATCTCTACAGTTTTTTTTTCTTTAATTAGTTGAGCATGGTGGTACTTGCAGTCCTAGCTACTCTGAAGACTGAGGCAGGAGGATCCCTTGAGTTTGAGGCTGCAGTGAGCCATGATCATGTGACTGCACTTCATCCTGGATGACGGAGGGAGACTTTGTCTCTAAAAATAAATGAATGAATACAATAAATGGGTGTTATTTAAAGCCAATATTTTCGATTATTACATAGTCTTATAAAATTCATACACAGGCTCAACAGACTTATGGAATGAATTGATGAATTGATACGCACACTAGTTACATAAAATAAAATCTTAACTTTTTCAGTGTTTCACATTTTATAATTTTCTGTGATGCAAATTAATATACTCATATTTCATTCATTCAGTCAATAAAAATTAATTTAGTACACACGATGAATCAGGTCTGCCCTCATATGCTCACATGCCTGACACTCTGGAAGCTTCACAAGACCAAGGTGGAGCCACTGGAGTGTTTTAGGTGGAGAAATGACACACTCTGATTCACAATAGCAGGACCATTGTGGAGAGAACAGTCATGTAGCAGATAATGAGACAGTGCTAGAGCCACAATTCAGGAGTGACAGGGTGGTGGGGACGAAGGGGAGAGGAGGGCCTGAGGGAGAAGAGGGATGGAGGGAAGGGCTGGAGAAGCAGGAGGTGAGGAGAAGGAGCAGAGGGAAGGAAATCGAAAGCAGCAGAATTCTTAGGTTTAAACACATTGTTTTATAGATTTTTAGTACATCCATCTACAGAGCCTGCAAGGGTGTTCTTTGCAGTTGGCCTTTAATACCTTATGTAGTTTTTAGATCTGCCCAAAAACGAATTGTTTTTTATGTTAATCAGGTTTAAATAAATACTAAGTGTTCTTATAAAATATGCACACACCACTTAGATGTGGACACTCCCTAAAAACAGGCACTGCATGAGCACTGGTGAGGGGCCTTGTGACTGCACTGAACACTTGCGACTGTGAGGTGAATGAAGTCTGTACTGGCTCCTGGTTGCAACATACAGTAACACAGTGTGTACTTTGTACTGAGGAGATGTCCTGGACTCACACAGAAACTCAGGGCTGTGGAATGAAGGTAAATTTAAAATACAACAAGCTGGAGTCACACATACATTGTCTGGGAAAGTGAAACAGCTTTGTGAGTCCTGTTTTAATGCTGTTAGACACATTTGCATATCAAGGGGCCAAAGTCACATTTTTTACCAATTAGGTTCCTGATCATTCAGGGGTTACCAAGATTCTGCTACCCACTGTAGTTAATAAACAAAAAGCAAACTGATCTCTATGCTATCTCATGCGTTCAGACACAACTTTACCGTTTAAAAAAAAAGAAAAAAGAAAAAAACACCCTGTTTTACACCTCCATTCCCAGGGCTAGCTGACTCTCTGGCACCAAGCTCCATGGGGTGAGTTTGCTTCTAGAAGAGTCCAGGGGGACAGGTAAGGAGTGGGAGGCAGGAAGTCCAGTTCAGGGACCGGGATGCAGGGATGAAAAGTGAAGGGAGAGGGATGGGGCCCATGCTGAGGGTTTCTCTCTGGTTTCTCAGCAGCTCCTGGGCCAAGACTCAGGGAGACATTGAGACAGAGCGCTTGGCACAGGAGGAGCTGGGTCAGGGCCAAGTCCCAGGGCCCAGGCGTGGCTCTCAGGTTCTCAGGCCCCAAAGGAGGTGTATGGATTGGGGAGGCGCAGCTTTGGGGATTCCTTATCTCCGCAGTTTCTCTTCCCCTCCTCACTTGTGTCGGGACCTTCTTCCTGGATACTCACGACGTGAACCCAGTTCCCACTCCCACTGGGTGTCGGGTTCCTAGAGAAGCCAATCAGCTCACCGCGGTCCCGGTTTTAAAGTCCCCAGTCTCCCTTGGCGCCCCGAACCACCCATGGCGCCCCAAACCCTCTCCCTTATGCTCTTGGGGGCCCTGGCCCTGACTGAGACCTGAGCAGGTGAGTGCGGGGTCCGGAGGGAAATGGTCTCTGCGGGAGGAGCGAGGGGCCCGCCCCGCGGGGGCTCAGAATCCCGGGAGACCAGCCGGGAGGAGGGTCGGGCGAGTCTCAGCCTCTCCTCGCCCCCAGTCTCCCACCCCATGAGGTATTTGAGCACCCCCGCTTCATCTCCGTGGGCTACATGGACCACACGCAGATTGTGCGGTTCAACAGCGACGCCGCGAGTCCGAGGATAGAGCCGCGGGCGCCGTGGATGGAGAAGGAGGGGCAGAGTATTGGGACCCGGGGACACGGATTTTCAAGGACACCGCACAGAGTTTCCAAGTGAACCTGCGGACCCTGCCCGGCTACTAAACCAGAGCGAGGCCGGTGACTGACGCCGGTCCGGGGTGCAGGTCACGACCCCTCCCCGTTCCCGACGTACGGCCTGGGTCACACCGAGTCTCCGGGTCCGAGATCCACCCCAAGACTGGGGGACCCAGCCAAGCCCTTTACCCGGTTTCGTTTTCAGTTTAGGCCAAAATCCCCGCAGATTGGGCGGGGGCGGGGCTCGGTGGGCGGGGTGACCGCGGGGGCGGGGCCAGGGTCTCACACCCTCCAGGAGATGTAGGGCTGCGACCTGGAGTCCGAAGGACGCCTTCTCCACGGGTATCACGAGTTCGCCTACGACGGCAAGGATTACCTCGCCCTGAACAAGGACCTGCGCTCCTGGACCGCCGCGGACCTGGCGGCTCAGATCACCCAGCGCAAGTGGGAGGCGGACAATGTGGCGGAGAAGATGAGCGCCTAGCTTCAGAGCAGGTGCCTGGGGTGGATCCGCAGACACCAGGAGAACGGGAAGGAGACACTGTAGCGCGCCGGTACCAGGGGCAACGGGGTGCCTCCCTGATCTCCCGCAGAACTCCCAGGCTGGCCTCGCACAAGTAGGGGAGGAAAATGGGACCGACACTCGAATATGGCCCTCCCTCTGGTCCTCAGGAATCCTCCTGGGTTTCCAGATCCTATGCCAGAGAATGACTCTGAGGGACCGCCCTGCTCTCTAATACGATTAAGGGATGAAGTCTCTGAGGGAGTGGCGGTGAAGACAGTCCCTGGAATACTGAACAGGGTTTCCCTTTGACCCCACAGCAGCCTGGGGCACCAAGCCATTTCCTCTCGGGCCTGGTTCTCTGCTTCACACTCAATGTGTGTGGGGGTCGGACTCCAGGTCCTCTGAGTCCCTTGGCCTCTACTCAGGACAGGACCAGCAGTCTCTCTCCTCCGCTGAGAGAGCAGAACTTTCCAAGGAATAGATTATCCCAGGTGCCTGTGTCCAGGCTGGTGCCTGGGTTCTGTACTCCCTTCACCACACCAGGTGTCCTCTTCATTCTCAGGATGATCACATGAGTGCTGCTGGAGTGTCCCATGAGGAATGCAAAGTGCCTGAATTTTCTGACTCTTCCCTTCAGATGCCCCCAAGACACACGTGACCCACCACCCCATCTCTGACCATGAGGCCACCCTGAGGTGCTGGGCCCTGGGCTTCTACCCTGCGGAGATCACACTGACTTGGCAGCGAGATGGGGAGGACCAGACCCAGGACATGGAGCTCATAGAGACCAGGCCCGCAGGGGATGGAAACTTCCAGAAGTGGGCGGCTGTGGTGGTGCCTTCTGGAGAAGAGCAGAGATACACCTGCCATCTGCAGACCAAGGGGCTGCCCGAGCCCCTCACCCTGAGATGGGGTAAGGAGGGAGATGGGGGTATCATGTCTCTTAAGGAAAGCAGGAGCCTCTGGAGCCTTTCAGCAGGGTCAGGGCTGGGGCCTGGGCGTCAGAATCTGTCACCTTCCCCTCTTTTCCCAGAGCTGTCTTCCCAGCCCACCATCTCCATCGTGGGCATCGTTGCTGGCCTGGCTGTCCTTGGAGCTGTAGTCACTGGAGCTGTGGTCACTGCTGTGATGTGGAGGAAGAAGAGCTCAGGTGAGGAAGAGGTGAGGAGTGGGGTCTGAGATTTCTTGTCCCACTGAGGGTTTCAAGCCCCAGGTAGAGGTGTGTGCTGCCTGGTTACTGGGAAGCATCATCCACACTCATGAGCCTACCCAGCCTGGGCCCTGTGTGCCAGCACTTACTCTTGTGTAAAGCACCTGTGACAATGAAGGACAGATTTATCTCCTTGATTACCGTGGTGATGGGGACCTGATCCCAGCAGTCACAGTCACAGGGGAACGTCCCTGCTGAGGACAGTTCTTAGTAGAGCAGTTGGTCCAGGACCCACAGCTGCTTTCCTTGTTTTTCCTCATACTGCCCTGGTCTGCAGTCACACATTTCTGGAAACTTATCTGGGGTCCAAGACTAGGAGGTTCCTCTAGGACCTCATGGCCTTGCCACCTTTCTGAGCCTTCACAGAATATTTTCTTCCCACAGATAAAAAAGGAGGCAGCTACTCTCAGGCTGCAAGTAAGTATGAAGGAGGCTGATCCCTGACATCGTTGGGATATTGTGGTCGGGAGCCAATGGGGGAGCTCACCCAGCCCGCAATTCCTCCTTTAGCGGCATTTCCTGTAGGCTCTGACCAGGTTCTGGTTTTGTTCTATCCCAGGCAATGACAGGGCTCTGATGTGTCTCTCACATCACCTTGTAAACATGAGACCCTGAGGACCCTGATGTGTGTGGGTGTTGGGGAGAACAGTGTACACAGCTGTGCTATGGGGTTTGTTGGAGTGGGATGTATTGAACATGATGTGCTCTTTAAAGTGTCACCCCTCACTGTGACTGATACAAATTTGTTCATGAATATTTTTCTATAGTGTGAGACAGCTGGCTTGTGTGGGACTGAGAGGCAAGTTTTGTTCACACCTTTTCTTTGTGACTTCAAGAACCCTGACTTCTCTTACTGCAAAGGCATCTGAATGTGTCTGTGTCCCTATAGACATAATGTGAGGCGGTGGGGAGACCAGCCCAGCCCCGTGTCCACCATGACCCCCTTCCCCACACTGACCTGCATTCCTTCCCCCTCACCTTTCCTCTTCCAGAGACCTGGGGCTGGGATGTCTCCACCTCTGTCTCAACTTTACGGTGTACTGAGCTGTAACTTCTTACTTTCCTATTAAAATTAGATGTGAATGTAATTTACTTCTTGAAATTATTTCCACAAGACATTGATGGGTTAATTAAAGGAAAAGATTCCTGAAATTTGAGAGACTAAATGGAAGACCCAAGAACCTTCCACAGTCCACATGCTTCTTGTGCTGATTTGTTGCAGGGGAGGCAGTAGATAGGGCTGTGCCCAGTGGGTGCACAGACCACTGTGGCTTTATGTGGTCACTGCTTGACTAGGTTATCTTTGCTGCTCCATTGTCCTTGTTCCTTCAGTAGAAGCTTGTCTTACCACGACCTGTGATCACAGGGACTTGGAAGTCACCTAGTGTGGTTCCTACACATAGACACCCTTGAGGTATCAAGAGACAAATTTTCAGACCCCTGTACCTCTTGCCCTCCTTCCATGTCTCTTTCCCAGACTGTATTTTCCAAATTTCCCCGACTGTATTTTCCAAATTTCCCCAATCTTCTTAAAGAAAGCAGATTCAGAAACTTGCAGTGAAGAGGGGTCCCATGGATTTTCACCATAGGTAACTTTCTGATGGAACTCCTTCTGCCTGAGTCGTAGTAATCCTAGTGCTGCCTCCAATCCAAACTCACGGATTTATAAAGCAGAGTCTAACTTAGATTCATATGTGGTTGGGAAATTGGACCCATAAGCCTGGGGTTATCTTTCCCGAAGAGAAAAATATGGTTGTGTGCTGCAGTGTGCAGGAGGGTTGGTGTGGGAGGAGGTAGGGAGGGAGGGAGGGCACACACGCAGCCCTGGTGAGAAAAGCTCTGGCAGCACTGATGTCAGTGTGAGATGATGTTGCTCTGTAGCTGCCACAAAACAGCATTTGGCCTGAGGCTACATTAATAAAGATATTGCCTTTAGAATAGGGAGGTGCCCTACAGTGATCATTCATTCAACTGACATTTGTTGTCTGCTAGGTATATGACTGCTTTTGCATTTAGAAAGCATTTTAGTAAAAACAAGGATTTTCGGCCTTGTGGTGTATATGTTCTAGATGTAAGCTTATCCAACCTGTGGCTCACAGGCTGCATGTGGCCCAGGACAGCTTTGAATGTGAAGACGTTTTTGCTTATCTGTGGTGGCAGATATCATAAAAATTATGCACATACTTTTTTTCTTTTTTATGATTATTTTCTGCTGACCAGCTGTCATTAGTGTATTTTATGTGTAGCTCAAGACAATTATTCTTCCCATGTGGTTCAGGGAAGCGAAAAGACTGGACACCTCTGTAGGCAGATGATAGATACAGTATAAGCAGAGTAAGAGCAGAAAATGCTTGAGTTAGAAGGTGGCAAGTGCTGTGGGGCAGGGGATCCAGAGTGTGGGCTGTGGGGACAGGGGGGTGGCTGCTGTGCTGGGTGGTCAGCATGGGCCTCATTGCAAATGTGACCTTCGAGTAAAGATTTGAGGGATGTGAGGAGCTGTCCACAAAGATGACTGGGAAAGCTCTTTCCAGGCAGGAAGCTTCAGTGCAGATGCACTAGGGCAGGAAAGTGTCTGCGTTCCTGGAAGGAGGAAGAGGCCAGCAGGGCTGGACAGAGAAACCAAAATGAGGTCAGAGGTGTGGCCAGAGCAGGGAGGCCTGGAGGGTGTGGGAATGGTTTTGACCTTTGCTGTGAATGACATGGGGAGTTAGAGGACAGTTTTGAAAAGTGGGATGTGGTAGGACTTATCTTTTGAAAGCTGCTGGCTGCTGTGCTGAGAACAGAATTGAGAGGTGGGGGACAAGTGAGGCAGTAGGGAAATGCTGGGGAAGGAGAGCAGTATTCCAGGATGGAGACGCTGGTTACCTTGACTGGGGTGTGAGCGGGGGAAATGGTGGGAAGTGATACGATTCCGGATGAATTTGAAGATGGACTTCACAGCACTTGCTAATGGATTGCATCTGTGGTGTGAGAAAGAAGAATCAAGGACACCCACAGTGTTGGACTGAGTGAGTAGAAGGGTGGAGCTGCTGTCCGTGGAGACGGGGAGACTCTGGCAGGAGCATACGGAGGAGAGGGCATGGCGGGCATTCAGTGGAGGAGACATCTACGAGGAGTGCAGGTGAGGGGCCCGGATGCCTCTGCAGCTACAGCTTCACCACCCAGGTACTCTCCTGCTTCCACCCCCTGTGTCTCAGAGCCAGAGTGCTGCTTCTCCCTGGGCTGTCTGCACAGGTAGGTGGAAGTCAGGGAAGTTACGGTCTGCTGTTGGTTATAATAAGCCATGGATTATTGTGCTTTCTCAGATAATTAAATTAATAATAAAAGAATTTGTAACTAGAACACTTATTCAGAAGACTACAATAATGCAAATTTTTTATTCATCTAAAGACGGCAATAGAAGAAAAATTGTTGAACAAAAAAGAGATAATATTAGAAGGCAGCAAATGACAATGTACAGACTTAAGCCCAATAAGGTCAACAATGACATTAAACATAAAGAACTGACACACTCCAATGACGAGACAAATAGTGCAGAGGGGAAAAATAAGTCAATATATAAATAACTGTAGGCTGTTTACAAAAGCCATAAATTCAGTAGAAGATACAAAAAAGTTGAAAGGAAAAAGGTAGAAAATAAATACCAGACAAACATTAATGAAAACCACACGGAGATGCCATTTAGAAAAATTACATGATGTGAATCTCCGGAGACATAGAGTACATGTAGACAGCTTACCATGTCTTTTTACTTTTTTTTAAGAAACATTGTCTATTGCCCAGGCTGAAATACCTCAATGTAACCTCAAACTTCTGGGCTGAAGCAATTCTCCTGCCTCAGCCTTACAAATAGCTAGGACTACAGACATGTGCCAGCACACCTGGCTAGAACGTCTCATTTTCTCATTTGATCTGGTGTGATCAAGGAAGTAATATCATACCATGTATTTGACTTGCAGTAGGTGCACAACAATTACCAGGGGAATGAAGAAATAAAACCACTTAGTAATTCAACCCATATCCACATGTACATTTTACAGATGAGGAGCAACATTTCAAACGAACAACGTATAATAAATTGATTTCCATCATCCAGAGCAGAATCGAGAACACATTCCCTGGACTAAAGGAATCAGAGCTCTACTAGGGGTCATAGCAGGCATCATGCAAGTCAGATATGCTAGTTACTAGAACTGGAATTGATACATTTCAAGATATACTAAACAAAGAGTGTGGAAGGGTTAACTGAATGCAGACATAAAGGAAGAAAATGCATTTGTTTAAAAGATGGATAGAATCTTTAAAGAAACAGCTTTTTTTAAAGTGGCCTTATGTGGACCAAAGCAGAGATGAGCTCAAGTGTCAGGCGGGAAAATGCCTGAGGAACGGCAGCTGCTAGACACAAGGGAGACCTCAAAATCCTGGGACATTTTCAGTTGTCATATGGGGATTGGTGGGAGGGAGTGAGTGGGGTGCTGCTGGCAAACCTCCCAAAATCCACGGGACAGCCCACTCCACAAATGACTCTCTGTCCCAAATGGTTAACAGTGCTGCTGTTGAGAAACCCGCGCCAGACGTAAGTGCTGTAATGTCCTCACCATTTCACAGATTTAAAAACTGAGGCACCAGGAGGAAAAGTGTCAGTAGGACCAGAGCTGCAAGTTGAATCCAGGCGGCCTGGCTGCAAAGTCTTGTCTTCCTGGTCAAGTCAAGGACCCAGTACCACAGACAATCCGGGCTGCGCGGTGCCTTCATGGTCTGTGGGCGCCCCCTGGTGTTGACACTAGGCCTGTGGCTAAATGAGCCTTGTGGGAAAAGGCAAAAACAGCTTTGGGCAGGGAGATACACCGTCAGGCCCTCCACATTTCAAGCCATTACTTACGCTCAGAAAAAATGTCTGCCCTAATTATCTCTCCAACCCCGCTTTTCCCAGTCCCGGCCAGTGTCCTTCCTCGACTCCATCAACATCAGCACCTGCCAGATGCCCACCACCCAGCATGTGAGGAGTGAAAATGTCCCAGGACTAAAGGACAAGACTAGGTTCCAGACAACATCAAAAAACCAAACTTGGGCCCAGGTGAAACCATTGAAGCTATACAACTTTGTGAGACCTTCAGTTAGAAAGAACAGTGCAATTTAGAACTGCAGCAGAAAACCTCTACGTCATATAGGGATTTTCTTCATCATGAAGTTCCCCTGAAGGGACCTGCTCCCTTCACCAATGCAGAGCATGGCATTTCTGTGTAAAATGATACAATCTCCTTGGATTCCTGATGTTGACACTTAGTACTCACTGTCTGACTTTGTAGATGCCAACTTCACATTCAACATTTTTCAGTTAATTTTCTTACTCTGTCTAAGCAGAGAATTTGAAATTGTCTCTGAAGCAGAAAACCTGGGACTGGTTATGTGAGCTC